ATGGGATACTTCATACAGATGTGTGGTCCAAATTAATGGGCCAAAACTTTTTCACAATGGGCTTCTGGAGAATTATTCAAGCTAAACTTCTAGTTGCCTAGCAAATCTCAATATTTATTTCATCTATTTCTTGGCTTCCAGAAATTTTAAAATTAGATCTGTGGGTCACATTTGGAGTTAAAATTATATTTCATTTGCTTATTGCTGATCTAGACCATAGCCTCCTTGAATATAGGGTCATTCTGGTCTTGATTTGGATGTTATTCTTAGCACATAATGTGAATGATCAATAAGTGTGTTGAATGCATTATTAGTGAATGTCAAACAGAGCCTTATAATCAGGGTACCTTCTTCCTGGAATATCACCAGAGACCATGGCAAAAACCTTTGCTTTCTTGTTCTACTTTTGTATTCCTAACTGACCAATTTCCTTTCGGTGTTGTTTGAGCATCAATCAGGTTTAGATGAATACTTCAGTGTTTTCCAGTTTCAGATCTGCTAGTATATCAATGCGTCCATCCTTAAAGCTCTAATTCCTTGAGTGGATTAAACTCTCTTCAATCTCCTTGGTCAACTAATTGCATTTTTCACCTTAGGGTGATAGCTGGGTAGTCTTTTGTCAACTCAGCATCATCCTTAGTTAATATCAGCAAAGGCAGGAACTACATTTCCCAGAATCTCTTTCCCAGTATGGGAAATGAGGGGCACTTGCTCAAAATTTAGAAGGCCGAACAGGAGGAGACCATTGTTTTCCAGAGTCAATTACAGGAAGACGTGTGGGCAGATAAAGGGCCAAAGCTGCCTCCAGATAAATTGCCTTTCTGTTGCTTAGATAGCTGATGAGGGTGGACTCCCAGCGAAGCTGATGAAGTTTGAACTTCAGGGCTCCTTTCTGGCATGAACCCTCCTTTCTAGGATTCTGGGAGTGGCTTTAGCACGCTTGTATTCATAATTTTACTTTTTTTTTCTTTCTTTTTTTCTGAAAGAAAGCCCTCTAAATTGGATATGCTGTAAGGCTCACAAAACTTGGCTCTAGTCCTGAATAGTTCAGAGCCTCCCAGAGAGCTTGTGTCTCCAGGGGTTTGAAGAGTGCTCCTGAAAACCAATGGCTTAAGGTCTTGGGTTAGGAATCTTCACCGGAGCCTCTTTCTCTTCCCCTATCTGTCCAACATTTGTAGAAGCTCTAAATCCAAAAGCCACTAGGAACTGAGTGGTTTTTGTTTTTATGACCAAACCAGTCAGTGCTTAAAAATGACTGCTGTCAACAATTAGATTATGATTCTTCTTTTGTTCCATTTAATCTCCAATATAATAAATAACATTTCTTTACACTTGAAATAATAGAAAAACAATTATTCACATCACTTGGAAAAAGCCTTAGAGTAAGCTCCATCTTGATCAACACTGAATCCTCAATGTAGCATTTTGTTTAGCACAGTGTGAGCTTAGTAAATGTGTGCCAATGAGTGAGTGAAGGAATGTATGACTTGATGAGCATTTGTATCCAAGTTGATCTCTTGTTATGATTATTAAAACAATATAGATCATGTTTGTTCTATTGAAATCTCTAGATTTATTTAGCCCAGTATCAAGAACTCCCAGCTGCTAAACTACTTTTTTTGGATGAAAATAAGTAGATTCGGGAGCCAGTCCAGCACAAATTCTAGGAAATTCCAGGATGCATCTGTAATTATGTTAAGGTCTTCCAGAGGTTCAAGGCCACACCTGTTAGTTATGAATTATTTTCCAAGGGTGAATATATATATACACACACACACACATATATATACTCACACACACATAGATGTATATCTATACATACACACATATATACATATATATGTATATGTATATCCTATTAAAAAAAACACCCTAATATGCAAATTGACTGAATGGTGGAATGACCAGTCACTATGACAAATACTTACCACCGGCAGCAGATGCTCAACACAGGAGCTGCCCCTGGTGGTCAGTGTACTCCCAGAAGCTGGGCTCACTGCTGGCGAGCACAGCAGTGGTGGTGGCGGGAGCCTCTCCTGCCTCCACTGCAGGAGGGTGGTAGGGAACAAGGGGTCCCAGGCTGTGAGAGGGATGTTTGACTGCTGGCTTATGTCCAATCCACCCCAGAAGGTGGACATCCCCCAAGGGATCCCAGACTGCAAGAGGGCACAGCCTGGGTCAAGGCCCCTCCCACCCAGTGCAAAATGTCTTGCATTGGGCCTCTAATATATATCCTACCTAATAAAAGAGCAATATGCAAATTAACCACCACTCCGCTACACCCACCAGCCATGCCCACCAGCCAATCAGAGCGAGTGTGCAAATAAACACAACCAAGATGACTACAGCCACAGAGAGCAAGAGGGAGACTTGGGTTTCCCAGGAAATGGAGGAAGCCAAGCTTTCTGCCTGTCCTTGGGCCTAAGTCTCCACTCAAGGCTACAAAGTTTCAATTATAGAAGATACATAAATTCCAACAGAGCAAGCAGGCGATTTGGCTCCCTTCCAGGCTACAAAGTTTCAATTGTAGAAGGTAAGTAAATTGCAGATACCAGGGCCTCTGCTTTCCAGGGGGCATGGCTGGCCTGCAAATCACCACAGGCACCTCACTTAGGCCGCCCCACACCCCAAGGGAATCCCCACCCTGATCCAGGACACCCTTCAGGGCAAACCAGTCAGCCCCCACCCATGTACCAGGCCTCTATCCTAATAAAAGAGTAATATGCGGATCACTCCAACACACAAAATGGCTGCCCCCATGTGGTCAAAGATCCTGCCACTATGTGAACACAAGATGGCCACCACAAGATGGCTAGCAGGGGAGGGCAGTTGAAGGCAATCAACCCTGCAGGGGAGGGCAGTTAGGGGTGACCAGGCTGGCAGAGAAGGGAAGTTGGGGGCAAACAGGTTGGCAGGGGAGCAGTTAGTCATCAATCAGGCTGACATGGGAGTGGTTAGGGGGTGATCAGGCTGGCAGGCAGAAGCTGTTAGGGGCAATCGGGAAGGCAGGCAGGCAAGCAGTTGGGAGCCAGTAGTCCTGGATTGTTAGAGGGATGTCCGACTGCCCGTTTAGGCCCAATCCCACTGAATTTCATGCACTGGGCCTCTAGTGTATATATAATCTCCTCTCTTTGTTTTTCCTGCAATCCAATTCTGCATAGTAAATAGCAATGATAATTATTTTGTTGGATAGGAAAGTCAATGGCCAGTCCTCAGGAGAATAAATCATGCTTATAATTCAAGTTTATGACTATAATCTTTTTTAAAAAAAATACATTTTATTGAAAAAAAATACATCTTATTGATTTTTTTACAGAGAGGAAGGGAGAGGGAGAGAGACTCAGAAACGTCACTGAGAGAGAAATATCAATCAGCTGCCTCCTGCACACCCTCCACTGGGGATGTGCCTGCAACCAAGGTACATGCCCTTTACAGGAATTGAACTCAGGACTTTGAGTCTGTAGACCGACGCTTTAGCCACTGAGCCAAACAGGTTAGAGCATGACTATAACCTTAAAAAATATTAAGAAGTGATTTAATCATGCTTAGAATTAGACCAGCATTTTAAAATTATTTTTAGACTAGCATTTTTAAGCACCCATATAATATTCTGTATGTTCTATTGAAATCAAACTAAAATAAAACTGAATCAAAATGAAACATGTAGGAGTTTGTAATTTTAAAACTATTGGTAAAGTACACGAAAAAGTAAAAAAATCCCATGTTTTGCTATTCTTTTCTAAGAATTAATGAGTATTTTCCATGGCTTGAGTAAGACAGTAATAATGCAGGATGATTTCATAATTATTGGTAATGAATGTATTGATATGTAATTAAGTTTGGAACAATTTGGTCTTTTTGTTTTCGTTTAGTGAGCATTTACTGTGTTCCAGCTCTATGCTGGGTTCTGTGCTAACCAGTGGAAACATAATGAGTTACACTTGATACTTACCCTCCTGAGGTGGTGTAGACAGCCACAGATAATTCCAGGAGCAAGAGGGGGGTTAATAGGTAAATGGTTTTGGGGAAATAGGGAAGGGGGAGGGGAAAGGAGCTTTTGTGAGACCAGGCACTGGAGTTACCTATGATAATCTTATCTACTTTCCATAGCACCTTTCAGAAACTCTCCTGAAGGAGGAAACCGGCTCTTGAATGCCTAGCCCCATTTACTCTACTCGGTTAATAGAGAGCAGCTCTAGGAATGTATGCCTACGTTTGCCTGGGCCCCAGAGCAAAGACCAAATCCTTCTGTATTCCACACAGTGCTTGGGTACCAGTCATACTCCCTCTGGCATGTGCATGGGTTAGCATAACCCAGTCCATTCTCTAAAGGCCATGCTGGCTCTTTCCGCTGGGACAACGTTTATCGGGTGATTTCTCTCGGTAGCTGTCATCTCCGAGGCCGAGGTGAGGCTCAGTTGCTGAAGCTTTCACCAGATGGCCCAGGCAACTGGAGCAGAAGGGAGGATGTGGATGTATTCAGGTTAAAAAAAAAACACACATTAATTAAAACACATTAACAGCTCATTATTTGTCTCTTAAATGGGTGTCAATGAATTCTCCAAGGGGCTGGACTTCCATGTCCTCCTCACCTGTGGGTTAGAGAGGTGAAATGATCCCATCAATGATCTTCCAGGAGTTATGTTGTCAGATAGTCTTAAGATTTTTTTATCCATGCATGCCAGTCCTTCAATTGGTGTATCAAATAGTTTCCGGTGCTCGATAAAGGTTGAGTAAAAACAAGTGTTTGGGGGAGACGGGCGCAGCGTAATTTGGATGCCCTGACGCCTCTCCTAAAGGTCGGTTTCAGGTGGCCTCCAGGTCCCTGGGAAGAGATCTCCCCGGCCCTCTCCAACCAAGGGAGCGCGGGACGCACAGCTCCGGAGACCCCAGGGTGCCCTGCAATCCCCAGACCCACCCTCTTTCCCTTCCCTCCCCTCCCCGCCCGGCCCCTGCGCCCCGGTGCCCGGCGGCTGGGCGGGTAAGCAAAGGGCACCGGGCGCCTTTAAATGCTAATGAGAGCCGGTGCCCAACTCCGGAGCCAACTTTCCCCACCCTCTTCCCTCGCCGCCCGCCCGCCCTTCCCTTCCCTCCCCGGCCCCGTGCGCCGCCTAGAAAAACTTGCGCGGGGCCATTTTTGGGGCAGTAAGATCCGAGCGAGGAGCCCAAGAGCGAGCGAGCGCGCAGCCCGAGAGCTCGAGCCGCCTCCGCCGCGAGCCCCACCCCGGCCGCCGCCGCCGCCGCCGCCGCGAGCCCCGCGCCGGCCTCCCCGAGAGCGCGCCCGGCCGCCGCGACCACCAGCCGCGCCAACCGCCCACCAACCGCCACCGACGCGCCCGACTGAGAGCCGAGGAGGCGGCATGAGCGAGGCGGGCGAGGCCACCACCACCACCACCACCAGCGCCGCCGCCACCACCGCCCTCCCGCAGGCTCCGGCGGAGGCGGCCGCCGCGGTCCCCCAAGACCCCGCGCCCAAGAGCCCGGGCGGCGGCGGCGCGCCCCAGGCCGCGGCCACGGCGCCCGCGGTGCTCGCCGCGGGGAACCCGGGCGGGGACGCGACCCCCGCGCCCACGGGCCCCGCGGCCCCCGCCTCTTCGGCCCCCACCGGCAACGAAGACGCGGAGAAGAAAGTTCTCGGTGAGTCGTCAGTCCGTCTCCCCGGGGGCGGGAGCGCGTCAGGGCTGCCCCGGGCGGGGCGGCCGCCGCCGAGCACGTGTGGGTATCTCTCCATCTGCGTTTCCCTCCGCCACCCCCTGCGGGGAGGGGACGCCGTACGGGGCTCCCCGTGCGTCTGTACGGGGTTCCCGGGACGTCCTACGGGGGCTTTCCGGGACGTCCTACGGGGTTCCCGGGGCGTCCTGCGGGGGCTCCCCGGACGCCGGGTCCCGGCGCAGGTGGCGCCGCCGCCGGCCCTGCGGGCTCTCCCAGGTGAGCGCCACGCGCTCTGCGCCCCTCGCCGGCCGGTGCGCGCCCCTCGGGGTCCCCCTGGGCCAGCAAATTGCGTCCTAACTTTGGGGTGTGTATGTGGGGGTCCCTGTCGCGCATTCCCCAAGTGGGGAAGGCTTCCGTCCCCAGAGAAAAGGGGGCAGCGGTGTGGGAGGGGGTCCCAGGGCGCGGATGGAGGTGGATGGATGGAGGAGGTAGGAAGGGACACGTGGGACGGCGACTTTGTGGAGTTGGATGCTAGGGATCCGGGTGGGGGGGGAGAGGATCTCTTTTTTGGGGGGGCGGGGGGGGAGAAGAGTGAGGTGGCTGGCAGGAGCCGGAAGGGGAAGAGGGGAAAAGGCTTCCTGCTGGGAGGGAGGCTCAGGTGTCTGTCCCCGACGCCCTTCCCACTTTGGCTTTGGGGAAAGGCGCCATGCGTCTGTGGGCCACATGCTGGGAAGAAGGGAGGGGGGGCGGGGTGGGGACGGGTGTTGCAATCCTCTTGGGTCCGGGTTGCGTCCCTCCCTGCGCCCACTGCTGCGGGGAACCTGTTTACCCATCGCTTCCCCCCCCCCCCCCCCCCGCTTGCTAATTCCCGGGCTGGGGGTGGGGGGAAACACGCGTTTGGTGTAGCAGCTGGAAAAAACTTGGTAGGAAGAGTGGATGTGACGTCCGTTCTTAGGACTTGCAACCTGGGAAAGGAAGTAGGCAGATAAGACGTTCAAGACGTTCAGGTTCAAGGGGGCAGAGCAGCCAGAGGGTGGGTGCGGGCCGTCGCTGGCATGTGCCACCTCCTCCAGCCTTCTCTCCGGCGAGCCCCGTGTGGGCCCCTTTAAAAACAGGCTTACACAACAGGTGGGTGGTGAGTAGCTTCCTCCAGGGTGTGCGTGTGCGCCTGTGGCACTCATTCACTCTCTTCTAAGCAGGCAAGTTAAAGGGATGGTGCAGGGGCCTTCCGGGTGGGGTGTGTTGGATCTCTCCTGGCCTTCCAGTTTTCTAGGAAGGGAATGAGTGTGAAGGAAGTAATAGGATTCCATGCACCACTCCTGGAGAGGCCCTGTTTTCCCCCTTTAATTCCCAGGGCTTTCTCAGTTACTGCCAACAACAAGCTAAATGTAACCTGTGTAGGGTTAAGGCATGCAACAGCCCTTATTTTGCCGAACTAAAAAGGCGTTGAAGCCTCGGCAGTGTTGAGTGGTGATATTTCCCACAAGTGTTTTCTTGGAACACTCCATACCAAATGTCAGAGAGTCCACCTTGGGTGATTCAAAGGGGTGTTCAGATACCTCCTTTTTTCCCTTCCTTTTTTCCTTTTCGGTTGTTCACAGGGAATTTTGAGGTTTTTCGCTGCATCCATCTACTACCCTTTTGGATCCGAACTAACCTTTGGGATTGTTAAAGATGAAGGAAACAGATAAAGTTAAATTTTGTCAACCACACCCCCGCTTGCCGTTAGCCTCTGCCACATCCTGGTGACCAGTCTGGAAGTCTTTCATCTTTCCACTATGACTCCAGCTCTCAGAATGACATCTTAACAGCTTGTCTCCGTCCACTGTGTTCTGCCATCCCCTTTCCTTTGCCAGGCAAACACATGGATGCCTATGATGTGCCAGGCACAGGGCTGACTGAAATGGAATTTGGGTTTTGGAATTCTAGTTTTTTACAAACAGTCTTTAACTTCAGTGGACATAACAGCCAACCACAGGCCAGGAAAAGTTAGTTTACCTGAGGGAAACCAGATTCCTTTCCGATGGAAAGCCATAGGGTCTTCCTCTGTCTCCTCTTCACGCAGTGTGTATGTGAGTGGGTTTATGGTTTTAAGGCAAGAAGCATATATGAATGTGTTTGCCATATGAAGTCCGTTAGAAGTATTTGTGGAATTAGGAAACATTTTTAAAACTACATTGAGGGGCAAAATAACCTTCAGCCTTGATTGTCGTTAGACTTGAAAATCATTTTTTTAAAAAAATCTTTTCCCCTATTCTATTAATGTTGGCTTTCTAGTCAAGGTTTTTCCTTTGACAATAGTAGACATTTACTTATATGAAAATGAGTCAGAAACGGCTTTATTTATATTTTCCTAGGTCACTAGGGCAAATGAAAGGAGGCACAATGACAAGTCGTTTGAAACAATGAGTGGCTGCAAAGCATATGGTTTATCAAAAACAGGCCACTTCTGTGCACATTTGGATCTAAAACATAACTTTTTTCCTTCTTGGCCCTACTGCTCTAGTTCGAATGGCCTAAAACTGCAGCTTTAAAGGTTTAATCTCTTCACTGGGAAATCTTCCTTTCTTGGTGCCAGCCAGAAAGTGCTCAGTCAGCAGTGGGCTGAATGACTCTGGAGGCGTAAAGAATATAATTTTTGTTTTTTTTCCTCTTCTTTTTACAAAGAGCTAAAATATTTCCTCAAGCATATCAATCTAGCAACACTCAGAGTTAACCCTGCCCACAGCAAAGCAAGTCCCAATTACTGTTTTAGTTTTGAGTTAAAAGAACTGAATCCTTATTGCTTATCCTTGCAAGTTAATCTCATAGAGAGGCAGCATGAATTAATGTTAATTGTTACTTTCATTCTCTGCTATATTTTTTTTTCTTTTTTTCCTTAAGGTACTTGATTGTCACATTTCCTGGTTCACTGAGTCTTGATACTTGCTTTATACATTTTTCTGAATTTAGGCATAGGCATTTCCTAGAGATGCTGAATTTGACATTCACAGTTGACTTAAAGGAGCCATCTCAAATTGTACCTGATGGCTGAAATAATTATGACTCTGCAAAGTACAACCTATGTGACCATACTATTGGGTTTTCTCTTAAATTCTGTTGAAATCTGGGGTACAGAAGTGGACCTACCCATGATGCAAAGTCAGGCCCATAATCAAGTTTAAGAGGGAATTTTATAGAAAATTCTGGGTTTTGATTCCCACCGTCTGCAGAGAGGAGGGTAAACAATGAAACAGAAGCCCAAATTCATTGCTGTGGTTTGAAAAGGCCTGTTACATCATGTCTCAGGGTGGTGAGTACAGAACCAGGTTGAGACAGCACCAGTTCTATTATTACTCTTGACTCTGATAGGCCCCAACTGGCAACTAGACAGGCTACTTTATGTTATATCTTTGTAGATTAACTAGGAGCTACGATTTCACTTAATAAAGTTTGCCAGTACTTCAAAGTGTGCATGCAGTGTGTTAAGGTCATTTGTACTTAACCTTGTTCATCTACCTGCATTCTCTTTCATTGTGACCCTTGTTTTGCACTAATAACATTTTTCAGCCTTAAAACTTAAAAGGGCTTCCCCTCCTTCCCCCGCCCCCTTAAACAGAGTTTCTCAATTTTAGTTATTGCAGAACTAAATAGACTTATGACCACCCTTATCTTATGACTTTACTGAAAAGTTTAACAGGGAAGATTCTGAAAAGTATTTTTCCCATAATATCCTCACTTGCTCCATTTTCTTTTTCTATTATATTGTATTTTGGACTTAAGCTTTTCCTGGTTTCCTCAGGTATGTTTAGGCTTTGTATAATGCTATCAAGACCTTAAGTGATAGGGGCTTTATCTGGGTAGGTCAGCTACTAATTTATCCGCTTAATCTATTTTAGCCACCAAAGTCCTTGGCACTGTCAAATGGTTCAACGTCAGAAATGGATATGGGTTTATAAATCGGTATGTATGTCTCTACAAGTTTTAAATACATACTTATGTTGTGGTACCAATTGTTATATATATATAACTGTATATTTTTTTTTTTACCATACTTGATTAGTGACTTGTATAAGTTTTAAGATTTGTAAACATTATCAATATTCTCATTTCTAAGCTACCGATCATTACCAGAACACTGATAAGTAACTTATTTTATAAAATCGAGTCATTAAAAGAAAAAAGGGGTGGGGGCGATAAATCAGAAGTGGGAAGAGCCTCGGGTAATGGAGTCCATACCCACAATCTCAGAGATGAAGACACAGAGGCTTAGACTGGTCAGGCAACTTTCCTGGGTCACACAGCGAGTACGTAATTGAGCTGGAACTATCGCCCAGGTCTAGGCCAAGTGCTGTGTAGAAACTAGTGTTTTCTTTAAGCCATGGTAACTCCTAACCATATAGGAATGATCATGTAAGTGCAGGCTGTTGGGAGTGTTACATTTTCGCACGATCCTGTCATTTGCTTGGCTCCCCCTCCTACCTCGCTCCCCCATTCTGAAACCCTATCTCCCCCCCCCCCCCCCCCCCCCAATTTCTGTTTTGGTGAGAGAGGGGTGGATGAGTTAGGGTGGGGTGATGTGGGGGGGGGGGTGGGTGACTGTTTTTGGTTTCAGTGTAAGGAGAGCCTAGATCACAGCTGTGCCTTGTCCTTTTAACTGTCTTGCCTTGCTTTGCCGGGAGGGAAATCTGGGGCTCTGATTACATACCACGTGGCCTAGAAAGCGATGAGAGGAAAGGGACAGTGCAGTGCGTGGCATCTGTGCACATGCATCTGAGCACTGTGGTAATGTGGAGGAGCAAGGTGGGTGCCTTGGGGGTTTGGAAGTTCTCCGTGAGGGTTGAGTTCCAGGCATCTGAAGTGAGTTTGGAGGATAAACAGAAGTTTGTGTTGTGCTTTGAAACCTAAACTCTTAATGCACTTGCTCTTTTTAAAGGTTTCCTTCGCATACCTAGAACCTTTTCATTGTGTTCTTTTTATCTTCCAACAGAAATGACACCAAAGAAGATGTGTTTGTGCATCAGGTAAGGGGGGGGGGGATTAATAAATGTTACATTTATATGTGAAAAGTGGGGTGTTGATAATGTGCTGTTTCCCATTCCCAAATGTAGTCATGTACATCATCTTCCACCCCAAACGCTTTTTTGAAGTTTTTTAATTTGGAGAGTATGTGTATGGAAACTGGGAGCAGTAAAACGAGGAAGGGCCTAGGGTGATAGGAGGAGCCACAGGAGAGCCTGGGCTGGGCTGGACTGTGTTGGCTTTGAAGAAATGCGATGGGGAAGAAGGGAGCCAGGGCGGGGCTGCCGTCTGCTCTCTGGAGAGGCGGGCAAAAGGGTGCCTTGGAGACAGGTTCGTGTTAGCCCAGGACGAGCTGCCGCCACCCATTGCCCTCCTGGTTGCAAGTGTCCCGGATCCCTTACAGTTTGGGAGATGCACGGCTGTGGGGAATGGACGGTGTGGGTGTGTTCCTGGGAGGAAAATGCACGCTGCTTTGAATTCTTTCTGTGATTCTTATTTTGGCAGGAGAGCTCAATTCCACATACTAAGATTGGCAGATAAGCTCTTCTGTTCCATCATCGTAACTGTTTTTCCAACAGTTTTTATTTTCCAATGGCATGAAGTCATATTTAGTTAGGCCACTCTTTCATTTTTGGACCCTTTGAGTCCTCAGCAGAAACGTTGCTTCTGTGTTGGGGTGTTCTGCTCTCCTGACTGTGTGGTTCCCCTTAGCGTTTGGCCAGGACCCATTTGGCTTTTGCCTGGGTGGGTGTTGGTTAAGGCTCCTCTGTCAGAGCAGCTCTCACTTGAAGAAATCAGCACAGCAAAGCAGATGGTTAGTGTGTGTGTGTGTGTGTGTGTGTGTGTGAGAGAGAGAGAGAGAGAGAGAGAGAGAGAGAGAGAGAGAGACAGACACGTGAGGACACACCCCATTCTCAGGACGCATCCTCTCCCCTGTGAAAGGTAGGCAAGGCATGGTTAGCACATGGCCAGGTCAGAAGGCCCATGCTGCCTTAGAAGCGAAGCAAATGTAGAAAATGGGTAACATATGGGAAACACGGGCGTCTCTGCTGCAGGACCTGTCTTCCTTTACATTAGTAGCCTAGGATGTTCTTCATTCTGTTACCAGGTACCCTGGACTTACTTTACAAAAGAGGTGAAAACATACCTACCCTTACTGTTTATTTTTGTATATTCAGTTTTCAACGAATTGTCCCAAATGTGTGTGTAGTTCCTAGTGTGTAGCAGGGAAGCAGAGAGGCAGGTACTATCACCGGCATATTTACCTTCAGGGCTCTGTCAAACATCTGGTTTTCAGTGTTTTTGTTCCCTTCTCTTTAGGTGTGTGTAGTGGTGGTGGTGGTGGGGGGGGGGGGGGGGGCACGTGGGGGGAGGGGATGTGTGGTGACTGGAGATAGTGCTAGTTAAGAAAAAGCTCCCTGGTTGTGGTTTTTATTGTTTACATGTTCACTTGACTGGATGTATTTCAGTTGTACCTAGATGACTTGGGTAGATTGTTGTTGTTGTTCACATACATGCACTTTTAAAGTCATAGCAGACTGACAGGAAGTGTTGCTTATAATACCGAGAAGTGAATAGACCGTTGGGGAGGGGACGCTGCGTCGGGTGAGTGCTGGAGTACAAGGACCTCACAAGTTTCTGTGCTGGTGGCCAGCTTTGTTGGCCCGTGCGTGAGCGTGTGACCTGATTCCAGCCCCTGTGAGGCTGTGTGGTGAGTCACCTCCCTGTGTTGAGGCCTGCCCAGTCTAACAGGAAAAGGGGAAGGAGCCGGCAGGGAGGGGCTGGCTTTGGAATGGCTGAGTGTTCGGGCGGGCGGCAGGCTGCGTGCGCACATATCCTGTCCTGAACTGCCTTCTTCCTCTGTGGGTGAAGTCTCTGCTCTGTTGGCTCATTCTTTTATTTTTTTTCCCCCCTCCCTCCTACTCAAGAGTAAGGGAAGGGCTGGATTACACATGCCTAATCGCTTTATAAAATAAGGTTGACCTAGTTCCATAGAAACTCAGAGCCCCTTTAACTATTTAGAGATACCAGCTGAAGAAATGGAGGTTCATTGCAGGAGTTATTCCACTTCCCTCTGCTGGTGGAACAAGAAAGGTCTGCTCACGAGCAGATGTTTAGGTGCAGATGTTTAATGCAGGGAAACATCTTTATTAAACCTTTTTAATGTGTTGTCGGGGACACAGCATGGTGTGACGGGGAAGATATTGAATACATATGTAGATGCAGTACAGGTATAAGAGTTTTCCCCCTTACCCCCCCATCCACCCTCTCCCCCGCTGCATCTTGAATATGGCCTTGGATACATCACTCTTAGCCTCATGTTTCCTCATCCATGAAATGGGGGCAGGTCGGGGGAAAAGCCAGATTATCAGCAGTGTTCTGATTCCTGAGGTAACTTTGCCTATTTTGTCAGAAATATTCACACCTTGGCATTTTCTAATTCATTTTTCCTGTTCACGATTCCTCCTCCCTTTCACACACATTCTTTAATATTTTAAAAAAATATTTTTGTTAATTTCAGAGAGGAAGGGAGAAGAGAGAGTTAGAAACATCAACGATGAGAGAGAATCATTGATTGGCTGCCTCCTGCATGCCCCATATGCTGGGGATCAAGCCTGCAACCCAGTATTGACATATACTTTACTTAGAATTTCTCCTCTTATAGACTGCCATCAAGAAGAATAACCCACGGAAATACCTGCGCAGTGTAGGAGATGGAGAAACTGTGGAGTTCGATGTGGTTGAAGGAGAGAAGGTGAGAGGGTTGGGCTGGGTCTCAGAGAGTGCTAGCACTGAAGTTTTCTTGCAGAGTAAATGCTCTCTCAGCCCCTTACGAAAGAACTCACATTACTTTGGATGTTTTTGTGTTAACAAGAAGAAGTGACTTTTAAGTAGAAATATTTTTGATTATTGGATGTCATTGTAAGCATTCTTTGATATATATATATTATCAAAGGATGCTTTAATTTCTCATTGAATAAGTGATGAATCCTATTTAATTATGGAAGGAAAAGGAATTTTAAATGGGGTGAAATTTGACTTATACAAATAATATTTTCAGGCTGTGATTTTTTAATAATACAAGTAATACACAGTGAAGAATGTTTTAATTTCAAAGAAGATTTCAGTTGAATCTTTGGATTAGGTTTTGGAAAGCTGGAGGCTTTTTGATGGACTGTATAACATCTTTTTTCAGATGAAGCTAATTGGTCATCTTGAAATGTACCGGGATATTTTTAATGCTGTTATATTATCTAGTTCCAATATTTGTAATGTCTTTTTTGTTTGGCTTTCAGACGGCAGTCTGTTATAGATATCAATAAAACACCATAGCATTAAAAAAACATCTTAAAGCCAAATACCTTACAACCACCATGGCATTTAATGGTGGTGGCTGAATTGTAAACTAATAATGGAGTGAATTACTAGTTAACTCCCCGCATGTGCTTTTCACACACACACACACACACACACACACAAACATACATACATACATACAGTTCCATAGTCTGTATTTTTAGTCGCTCTCAACCTGTTCTGTTCTAAAAGAAAAACACTTCATTTCATTTAATATAACAATTTAAATGATGTCTTTACTGATTTGATCCCCATGGTATCTTGCAAATCTCTTGAAGTTTTGAATCATCCACCAACAAATGCTGGCCTGTAATGATCTCTAAAATTTTGCTTTGTCAGATTTTATTTATTTATTTTTTGCCTCTGTATGTTTTGTCAGGCAATTTTACCTCTGTTTTCAGAACTTGAGGCTTTACAGATTGATAAGAGTGTGAAATACACTCTTTTCAGGCTCTAATTTTTTATCTGCTTGCAACATTATTTTATTCATTTTTCAGTAAGAGAATAAGAATGCTAAGTCTGTTCTGAGGAGAATAGGAAGGTCTAAAGAGGGACTACATGTGTGGAAACTATTACTAAGACAAGAACCCTTCTTTACCATTGCTCCCAAGTTTTGCTCTTGGTCATCATTGCTGGACAGAGCTACGTGAGCCCATGAATGGGAATTCTCTTGGTACCTCAGGGTAACACAAGTTTCAACATTTTCTAGCAAGATACCATTATCTCCATTTTTTTCCACTGAGGAGTATGCCTTCCTGATCTAGCATTCTTTCTTTTACAGTTGTGTTACATCGAACAGATTGTGTTCGTCAAAGAGATATACATTGCTCTTGAACCTAGTATGACCAAACACGAAGGCAGAGCATAGGCTGCGTGAGCAAACAAGCTGCATACATTTCAGTATTAAAACCTGGGTATACTTTTGATGTCTAACAACAGGAATTGATAGTACAGTCTGTCAATCTTTAACATTTTGGTTGTCTAAGATTGTTTGGGGGGTTTTGCTTCTTTTAAATTTTTAAAAAATATGTTTTCATTGATTTTTCAGAGACAGGGAGAGAGTGAAACATCAACAGGCTGCCTCCTGCACACCCCCTAGTGGGGAATTGAGCCGTGTGCCATGACAGGAATCGAACCAGCAAATCGCTGCTCAACCACTGAGCCACACTGGCCTAGCTTCTTTTAAATATTGAGGGTGTCTTTCTTCTGCCTCAGGGTGCCGAAGCAGCCAACGTGACTGGCCCAGATGGAGTTCCTGTAGAAGGGAGCCGTTATGCTGCTGATCGGCGCCGTTACAGACGCGGTTACTATGGCAGACGCCGTGGACCTCCCCGTAATGTATGTTGGCCTCTCTTCCTAATTGGTGATTGCAGAGACATTCACATCGTAAACGGAGTGTACAAACTTAGAGCAGATGAATACTGTGTCTTCTCCTGGCAACACAAACACAAAATGATTGTTGTTTGTTGGTTTTGATGCAAAAATTTTTATATCCGGAATTTATGCATAGCCAAGGGTCTCATTACACTTGCCATTGAAAAGTTGTATCAGTTTGTATGTACTTGGCTGCAAATAACAGACATTTAACCATCTTATAACAAGAAAGCTTAACTAAGGTATGCTGTGCCAAGGTGGTCAAAAAGGCATTCTCTTCACTGAGCTCTTTCCCGGGACCAGAATCTTGCCTTAGGGCATTCACTGATGAAGGGGAATGGAATTGGCTCAAACCTGTGGTTCATCCCTTGGCACTGGCACTGCTGGTCTCTAAGAAAGTCAGCGTTTGGTTGGCAAGGAAGAATGGGGATAGATTGGGAAGAGGCAATAAACTGTTGGCTGCAGAAATATTAAATTTGCTTCAAGTAAGTGGCTATTTTATTTTATTTATTTTTTAAAATTTCTTTATTGATTATGGTGTCACATAATTGTCCTCATCCCCCCATTCCCATCCCAAACCCCACCCCTGTTGTCCATGACCTCTGGTTAGGCTTATATGCATGCACACAAGTCCTTTGGTTGATATCTCCCCTTTGCCCCCACCCTCCCCTACCTTCCCTCTGAGGCCTGACAGTGGCTAGTTTATTTTGCATAGCATTTGCTTTATTTTAAAGTGTAGAAGTAGTAAGTAATTGTCTGGATCTATCATTCTTCAGATTAGTATCAATCCAGGTGAAAGGCTTTACAACCAAGTCTCTGTCTTAGGAGGTGCTCTATAAATACTTTTTAAAGCACCCAAAAAGAATCCCATTTATCTGTGGTCATGAGGATTCTATAAATTTGAGTCACTTTTTGATGTTTCTAGAATTAGTACCTGGGACTGGCACCACAGCATAAAACTCCAGATGTTTTGTGGGTGCAGGGTTGTGGCTATGCCAGTTACCCAAGAAGAACTTGAAAAATCTCACCAGAATAGAATACATGCAGGTTGAGAATGGTCTGTCCCCATGTTTCGATAGACTTACATCTTTCTGCTTTGCAGAATGCTTTCCTTCTTCATTCTGTCATCTTCTCATCCTGCCTAATTTGATTTTTATCAGATTGCTTATGGCATTTCATTTCCTGTTTCTGTATTTTTCTTACCCACATTTTGCTTATTTTGTTTTTGTTTTGTTTTTCCAATAAGCTGTGCAGGGCGTGGAGGTAGGAATGAGCATTTACTATGTCAGGTTAACGCAAGTTCATCAGATTCACGGAGCTTGTAGTTGTAATTATTTTGACTCCTTAGTTCATTCAGAAGTACAGTGGTAGAACCTTTAGTGAAAAATTTTCCTTATGGAGACTTTTCTCCTCAGCTGGAAATTTGAAGTCATTCATGTAAAAAATATTTAGAAATGTCAAAATTCTTAAAGTGTACATAAATGTTTTGCTGTTACAATGTTTTTAAGTCCTTAGAGCTCGAGAGCATGTTTGTTAAGGGTGCTGCCATTATTCTCATTGTGTAAAAATGAGAGATTGTCTGTATACAGCTCAAAAAGATACAGAAAGCCTAAAAGAAAAAGAAAAAATGTATGAAGTCTCACACTTCACATTTTGGTGAACATTTTTTATATTGGGAATCACATCTGATTCAGGCTATACGAAGTTTGTAATGGCTTCATTTGTCTGAAAAGCTCGTTGGAGCGTTTCCTGTTGGGGAATTTAGTTGCCCATGTTGGCTTGAACTGGAAAGTTCTAAAACTTAAACATCCTCACCCTCTAGGAGAAATGCGTCATTATGTTAATTTTTAATTTAGCTATTTTTTTTAATAACTATCGTTACTTCCCATAAGACTACTTTGGCATCTGCATATCCCACTTTAAAGTAAGATTTTAATTAGGTTTCTTGAGGGATGGTAGCCTTTATTTTTTATATAAACTACTAGTATAGGATACGTAGTTGAAATACAGGAAAAGTTACATAATGGGTCAATAATTTACTTTGCTAGTAAGACCTGTATATATTTTTAAAAAATTTAATGTATTTTTATTGATTTCAGAGAAGAAGGGAGAGAGAGAAACATTGATCAGCTGCTTCCTGCATGCCTCCCCACTGGGGATCGAGCCTACAACCCAGGCATGTGTCCTGACCCGTAATTGAACCATGATCTCCTGGTTCTTAGGTTTACGCTTAAAACACTAAGCCATGCTGGCTGGGCATTAAGATCTATATTTAGAAACTACCCGTATCTATTACTTATTACTATCTGTTAAGGTACAATTAAAACTTTATTCTCAAAAATATAAAGAAAATCTAACTTTTTCCATGAAATTGAGTGGGAAGAGTGGTGGTGCTTGATGTTTTTGTAGATCTCCTGCACTCAGTCTGCTGAGACCACATGTCAGTGTAGCTCTGGGAGACCCCACCGTACACTCCTGTGGTGATGAGATGGGATCAAGCAATTAGCACTCTCACGGCATTATGAGAATAGTTGGACCTTGATAACCCCCCGAAGGGTTATGGAGACCCTGTCCACACTTCGAAAATAGCTGTAGGAAGTATACTTTGTGGAACAAACTGTTGATAATACCACAAAATATATTTTTTCTTGACTGCCCTGACTTTGCCCCCGTGGATGGCAAATGTTGGGAGACACACATGTTGGCCAAGGTAAATATTTTTAAGATTGTAGATGTTCTTTGGGGGGGTTGGTCACCTGATACTCATCAATTCTAATTAGATGACTTAAAATTATTATAGAGTGATTGCTTTTGCTTTTCTGCTTCTTGGTATTTTATCTGCATAGATCTACTTTAATCTCAATGTTGTTTATCCCAGGTTATCACATAATGATCTGGGTTAAATGCGCTTTGTATAAATAAAAGGATTATTCCTTTTGGGGAGATGTTTTTCTTTTGGTGGTAATTCACCCTAAGTGGTATTCTTTGGTTCTTTCCTTGCTGAAACTTCTTCTGAACCTCTGTTTCTTTGCTTCGCTAGTACGCTGGGGAGGAGGAGGAGGAAGGGAGCGGCAGCAGTGAAGGATTTGACCCCCCTGCCACTGACGGGCAGTTCTCTGGGGCCAGGAGTCAGCTGCGCCGCCCCCAGTATCGCCCTCAGTACCGGCGGCGGTTCCCGCCTTACCACGTGGGACAGACCTTTGACCGTCGCTCACGGGTCTATCCCCATCCCAACAGAATGCAGGTAAAATTGCACCTGGGACTTCTCTTCAGCAATCCTCACCCTTCCGTCCTTCCTCTGCCTCTTCCTCCTCCTCCTCCTCCTCCAACACCAGCCGCTGGAAACAAAACCTTGCTTGTGGCTTCCTGATGCTGCAAAAGCTGAAGCAAGGCCTTGGGTCTTCCAATCCTAGTAATGTTTCTAAAAACACAGCTACGTGAGCCGTGCCTACAACTGGGGACACTAGTGGGTAGGTTACAGTTTCTAGTTTATGGAAGAAGGAAAGTAGAGAGACCAATGGTATGCTTAAGAGCTTAAACTCTGAAGTCAAGACAGACCTGGATTTATTTAAATCTTGTCTCTGCTACTTATTATTTGTGAAGTTTTGAGAAAACCAAACTTTAGAGAGATTAACTTACTCATACATTAAATGGTAATAATAATAATAATGTGCCTCCACTGTGGGGCTCACTATGATTAAATCAAAGGTAAAGACTTCAGTGTGATGCTTTAGGATAGCTAACACCTGTAAAGTCCTTAATTTAGGCGAGATGGTGTGGATTAAGAAACCCTACCAGAGGGTGAAGATGGTTAGTTATTGATTTACTCCTCTTTTTTTAATCACAAAATATTGATAACAACTACTGTAGGAACTTGACCTGTAATGAATGAGCCTCATAGCAACTTCCCAGTCCCTGGAAATTTGGGAAACTTGGGACGGGGCATCCTTTTTGTTACCCCTAGCTACAAACACTTCCTCTTAGTGCCCTTGGGTTGTTTTTCCACCAAGTGTTTTGACTGAACACTATGTTCGGTCCGTTCTCTGCTACCCTTCTCATGTCCCATCATGCATGACTGTGTTCTTTCTGCATTGCTCCTTGTTTTTTCTCTTCACTCTTTCACAGCTGTCCCTGACAAACGTGCTAAAAATAACAAGTAGACTTGCGTACATGGAGAGATTGGGTACGTGAGGCACAGGCACAGTAGGCTCCGTTAGGAGGACTTCCAGGAGGACAGGAAGTCAGTGAGATTGCCATGCACATTTATTTTCAGTGCTGACAGTACCTTCCTGAAGAAGCCATTGTTAGTGTCTAGCATATGCACATGATGAGTCTTTTCTGTGTTTGAATTAAAGTATATTTCACCTTAGGATTTGAAGGTGGAGAGTAAAGTGACTCTGGAGTGCCATGTAGAATCTCTTTTACAGATGCTGGTTGAAAAGTTAATTTTTGAAATTTGTGCTTATTCTGATAACTGCATATATAGTTCTTTAAATGTGGCCTGGATTTTTTTTACTTTACATTTCATATCTGAATTAAAAACTGTCTTAGACTTTTTTCAACAGTTTTCCTTATACTCTTTCTAATACATGCCATGTTTGGATGTTCACTGAGTGAGCAAACCAATAACATCAAGTGAAAATTCCTGAAACTTCCTTCCATAAAACTAGGCTACCTCAAGGTTGTCAGTGTAATGACTTACAAGGACTGAGAGATATCTAGATGGTAAAAATTTCTGAGTTCATACAGAAAAGTCTAATATTTTCTACAACATACAAAAACTGACATTTATTGGACACAACAGGGAAAACTAACAACATTCAGGCCACTAGTGTTTCTCTTATGTACCAAGAACATAATATAGCATGGTCAGTGATCAAATGACTTCCGTGTTCATATATATAATTGATTTTTTTACAGAGAGGAAGGGAGAGAGTTAGAAACATGGATGAGAGAGAAACATGGATCAGCTGTCTCCTACATAACATCCATTGGGGATGTGCCCAACCAAGATACATGCCCTTGACTGAAATCAAACCTGGGACCTTTCAGTCCGCAGGTTAACACTTTATCCACTGAGCCAAACAGGTTAGGAAGATGAGGAGCCTAGCAAATGACATGAGAGGGAACAGGTAGAAAGAAAGAAAGAAAAGTATTTTAAGAGGAAATGCTGCCCCCAAAATAGTGGAAGTTAGGTTGAGAATTGATTACTGGGTTTGGTAACTTGGGAGGTTAGTGATATGGTGAGAACAAAAATCTAGTCAGAATGAATTTAAGAGAAAGCCAAGATGGGGGGAAGGGGGGAAGAAGAGGTATTTTCTTCCCCTTTGAGGAGGTTTCTGTGGTGGTGATGGGTTTCCTTTAGCAGGTATTTCTGTAAAGGAGCTCAAAGAAATGGGGCAGTATCTGGAGGAGGATCTGAGGTTAGGGCAAGGTTTGGGGTTGATTTTATTTTCACATTGAGTGAATTCTGTCCTGGTTTCCCTTAGCCCTTCCCTCTCCAACTACTTACTCATGATGCATTAGAAGAGCAAATCAAATGCCACACACACACACACACACTCACATTCATACATTCATTTATATATGTATAGTTTATAGTATGTGTGCATATGTTTGTATTTGGTGGTCCTTATTTCTGTTCACTGAAATGGCCTGAACTGATAGCACTGAGCTTCCTAAATACCATTCTCTAATAAAAGGAAGCTCCTTTTGAGAAATGGCTGATTTCAGATCTGAACCACAGAAAGTACAATATGAACCTGGAACATCTTGTCATGCCAGAAAGCAAGGAAGTACTCAGAGAATGTTGGAGACATGTCAAAAGGACATGAGGCAGCTTGAATGGGTTCCCATTGGCCAGTAATGATAGTAACAGATTAGAACCCATTGAATAAAATAGAAAACCATGAGTCTGTGTAGATATATACACGAATGTATTGAATTTGATGAGGAATGAAATATTTATAGACTTTGAAATTACTTCACAAAATCCTTCTTAATTACAAAGGAGAACAGAGTACACCTAGCTCTGGCCAGTGTGGATCAGTTGATTGAGCGGTCATGTGCACCAGAAGGTTGCTGGTTTGACTCCAGGTCCGGGCACATACCGAGGCTGCGAGCTCGATCCTGGTCTGGGTGCGTGTGGAGGCAGCCAGTCAATATTTTCCTCTCACATCGATGTCTCTCTCCTTTCCCTTCTCTCTAAAAAAAAAACAACAAACCTACAAATCTATAAAAACATATTTAGAAAAATAAAAAGGAAACCTACAGCAGAGGAGCCTTAGAAGATAAATACCTGTAATAATATGAACAATAAAGATTGATTTAAAATTTAAAAAAATGAAGATAGATCCCACCTCAGCTACTGCTCAACACCAACACTGAGTAGAGTGCAAATTGAAGTCAGACTCGACCTGGCAGGAGACAGTGAGAAGAATGCAGTGTCACTTTTGTGGCTTCCCTGTCATCCACACAAACTAGAGCGCGGGGAAACACCCAGCAACCCACACGGCGGTATATTTTACAGACTATCTGATCTGTAACCATTTTTCTTTAAAGAATAATTTTACTTTTATTATTATTTTACATATATTGATTTCTCAGAAAGGAAGGGGGAGAGAGCTAGAAACATCAAGGATTAGAGAATTGTTGACCGGCTGCCTTCTGCAGCCCGTGCATGTGCCCTTAACCGGAATCGAACTCGGAACTCTTCAGTCCATAGGACACCAAGTAGAAATTGAGGAACTGTGTCAGAGAGACAGCTAAATTCAAGGCATGGTGCTCAGTGGGTCTTTTTTGCTCTAAAGGACATTATTGGTGAGACTTGAATGGGGTCTGAGGATTAGATTCTACGTTTGTTATTATTTCAAAATAAAGTAATTGAAAACTAGGGGTGTTATTTCAGCATGTTCATGGGCTTGGGTGGAAACAATGGAGCAAAGAGGGAAGAAAATACACAGTGAAGCGGGGGATAAGGAGAGGGGTTAGCCATGGATATGAGCTTGGACCACTTAGCCAGTGTAATGAGAGAAGACGATTATTATAAATACAGGTAGCTTAGTAGATTCTGTAGTGAAACGATATAGAAAATATTTTCTGATTGCTTCATGAAATGGAGAAGAAAGGTGTTAGTTTTGAGGGGGGAGAAGATGTTTGAGATTGTGACTATTTTGTAATGAATTTTAGAGATTGTTGGAATTTCAGAGGTTGGTCGGTGGGTTTTTAATTTTTTTTTATTTTAGTTTTTTGTTCATTTGTTTTTAGTTTTTATTCTTCCCCTAGAAGTTCTACAGTAAAGTTATTTTTTCCCCTACAGATTACAATAAATTTATCACCAAGAAAGTGTACTTTATTTTTTTAAATGTTATGCTTAAATAGTGCAAATAAATACTAGGAAGAAATTGTGAAAGGAAAAAATCAGGTGAAAGCATGATTATAAGGTGTGAGAAATTTTGAATTAGAAGCCATTAGTGATATTGAAGGGATACCCAGTTTGTAGAATTAGCAGGTCTGAGTTTGAAAAGATTCTTATTGCTCAAAAGCAGTTGTTTTTTTTTTAAAAGAGATGAATGGAGCACTTTAAATGTTAAATTAATATTGTGAAATGAAATTAGTTGCTCTGGAGTAAGGCAGAATACTGTTATAAGTGGGAATGAGTTTTTCTTTTCTATCCTTCATGAAGATCTAGTCAGAAAATAGCTTACTGTTACAATTAGTTGATAGTTCCCAGCTTTGTAAGGAAGCATTTTTCTTACTTTTCAAGAATTCTGAATACAGCCGTGTGCTCTGTGTTTCCTGTATCCTGTAGCACAGCACTCATTTCCAGCCCTATTCCCTTCTAGGCTGGTGAGATTGGAGAGATCAAGGATGGAGTTCCAGAGGGAGCTCAACTTCAGGGACCGGTCCATCGAAATCCAAATTACCGTCCGAGGTACCGTAGGTACGTCACATTTCACGAAGGCGTGACCCGCTGAAGGACTGGGGAGTGACCGCAGAATGTGTGAGGATGTTGTGGGTCTGTTCTGAGGACTTATTATGTAATGGAAGATGTGTCCAAGTTGAGGGGAGACTCTGCAGCATATGTTTTCAGATGGCCTGTGACACTTGCTCCTTCCTTAAATAATAAAACTTATAGTTATCCCTGTACCAAACCATTAGTTGTATTTGATAGCATTCTTATGTTTTAATTATAAATTAATACTTATTTTCAAATAATATTGAATGAAATAAGCAGAAATTAATTGATGAGTAATTCACTGGTAGTGCTACAAATGGAGGAAGATTGAGTGCCACAGAGTATTTGGGATACTACATATTCTGTTAACTGAGCCAGTCTAGTGTAAGAGTTAAATCAGGCTATGGATCAAGTTGTCTGATTCAATTCCCAACCTGCAGATGGTAGCTATAACTCCTTTGACAAGTTTCTAAACTTTCTAAGACTTAGTAGTAGGCCTATAAAATGGACATTAACGGCTATTCTACAGTTGTCATTAGGGTTAAATGTATAAAGAAGCATCTGAGACAATTAGTATGTTTGCTGGTATAATAACTGCTCAGTAAATACCACTACCCATGATGTTAACATTAGTGAAGGAGCGGATTATTTTGTGTTCTGTCCCTGCAAAGATTGCAAATTGAAATAGATTTCCTAAGATCCTTTTCAGCTTTTTGTATTATAAGCCTTCCTGTTTGTTTATTTGTCCTGTCCTTGAGGTAAGTGAAGAAGCATTTCATTCCTAAATCACAGGGAGACCACCTTGAAGTTGGGCAATAGGGGTTGATTGAAAGGAGAGTATTAGTAAGTGTAGAATTTGGGGAAAGGATTTGTGCCATTCTGCATCCTTTCTTCTCACAATTCATTCCAGTTTTAGGCATAATCACTCTATAAGAACTGATTACTAAGGACTTTCAAATAAGGGATATTTCATAGAAATGTCTTCATGAAAACTGAGGAGACAGGAGCAGTATTTGAGTCCAGCTCTGTCGATTCCCAGCTGTGTGATCCGGGCAGAGTTACAGTTCATGAAAACTGAGGAGACAGGAGCAGTATTTGAGTCCAGCTCTGTCGATTCCCAGCTGTGTGATCCGGGCAGAGTTACAGTTGACCTTTTTTGACCTATAAAATCAGCCACCCCATGTGATTCAAACAAGTACTTACTCTCTCTGAACCTGTTGGCTTTCTTACTGCGAGGCTCACTCACAGAATTGGTGTTGAAATTAAATCACTTCACGTGTAAACATTCCAGCACAGGCTCTGGCACGTGGTGGCTGTTTTCTTCCCGTGTTCAATCCCCATAGTCTCCACGAAGCTCTGTTCCTGGAGGGCAACACTAGACCACTTTCCTTCTTTGGTTTTCCTCTTAGAGCCTGTCAGAGTGTCTGGTAGGAGTACAGTATGTGTTCAGGGTATGTGTATGCACTACAGATAGGTATTCAGGTGAAAGGGGAAAAGGATGGGATTTTCCCCCCCCCCCCCCACCAAAACTTTGTTCCACTTGTTTTATTAGCCTGTGCATAATTCTAGTAATAAGTACCTACCTGGTCACTTGGACTCTTTAATTTCTAGAAACGAACAAAACCTATTTTCTTGAGAGTCCCTGTTGCGTTGCACTTTTTCTCTCTTTGTTTTGTGATCTCTGTTCTAGGGGACCTCCTCGCCCACGACCTGCCCCAGCTGTGGGAGAAGCTGAAGATAAAGAGAACCAGCAAGCGGCCAATGGTCCAAACCAGCCGTCCGTTCGCCGTGGATACCGACGCCCGTACAACTACCGGCGCCGTCCCCGTCCTCCTAACGCTCCTTCACAAGATGGCAAAGAGGTAAATGCAGCCAGCCGGAGGGGGGTGGTGCCGGATCATTCTTCATCATGTCAAATGTCAGCATCTATTCTAAGAGTGGTTTTATAGTGTGATAGTCTATACTTAAGTATATGTATATATAAAAATATGTATCTTTACATATAATAGTTTATGTAAAATGTCATTTATAAATAAATTATTTACACATAAGATTTTATATATAAGTAGTATCCACATATATTTTTATATATCTATATTAACATTTTGCTTAAGGTCCATACATATATAGAGTATTCTCTGCACGTCACACAAACCAAATATTTGAGTTTTAATTAAATTGACATTTGAATGAATTACCCACTCTGGCGGGGATTCAGAGCCAAAAACGTGTAGGGCTGTCCAAGTAAAGGACAGCATTTACAGAGAGGAACCCGCCTGTAAGTGTGTGGAAAGTAATTGTTTTGTTACGGAGAGTGGCCGGGTTTAATTTGCTATTTGGAAGTCATTCTTTGTGATACTGATTTTTGACTCATACTTGAGAGTAGATAAAATTTTGTACGGCGATTTGCTTCCATAGGCAAAAGGACTCCAACTTTTGAGACTTTTTAGTCTTGAACTTTCCACTGTCACCTGAATTGCTTCATTTCTGGTTTGTGAATGTGTTCTGTGTTTTAGAGCAAGGCAGGTGACGTGCCATCCGAGAACCCTGCTCCGGCCACCGAGCAGAGCAGTGCTGAGTAACATCAGGCTCCTCAGGCACCTTCACCATCACTAGGTGAGAGCTCGGGCAGCCCAGGCTTACGTGGGTATTTATTTTAATTTTTTTTAATGTCATTGATTTCTCAACCAGAGCACAAATCAGTCTGAACTATCGATAGTTCTGTGATTTACCTGGACCATTTCCTCATCTCCATTGTGATTTTGAAGAAAGTGGTTAAATATCTGAGATTTACTTTTTTTTTTTTTTTTTGCTAAGCTTTGGGGACATAAGCATTCAGACAGGTAATGAGAGCCAAATTCTTTTTTCTAGACAGACAGGTTATTTTAGACAGACAGTTTTTAACTATTACAGTATTAATATGGTATACTAATAAGAAAGTTTGGAAATTTTACTTTTATGACACCTAGTGGCCAATTTGATCATTTTCAAGTGCCTGACCAGGCCTTACTTTAATATCTGGAGACTGATTTGTAGAATAAATTAGAGGTTTTGTGTGTGTTTTTTTCCCCTTTGACAAGCAACATGATTCACTTGGAGGCAGTGGGGACAATGTGTAGGAGCACAAAGGCCTCTACAACCAGTGCGGGATCTGCTGCTCATTTGCTCGGTGATCTTGAGCAGTTCGTTTACCCTCTCCCTCGGCAATGTCTGCTGCTGGGGAAATGGGAACACCAACAGACTTTATCCACCAAGGTCCTTGCAAAGATTTAATGAGATAACACCTGGGAAGTGGTTAAACAGCAGTAAAGAATAACCTCTTTGTAAAGGTAGCTTGTTAAGCTTCATTGTGGTTTCATTATTATGTACTGACTGTTCTCATTTATAAAAAATATTTATGGAAAAGAGTTTTCATTAAATCAATGCACAGTTTACAAATCTAGAGAATATAAACATGTACATTTTGCTTACAGCTTTTGAAATACTTTTTTTTTTTTTTTCAAGAAAACAGGCTATTTTTGTCTTTTTATTCTTTAACTCTTCGTCATTTTGTCACTTTTTATAAGTTCGATTTTAATTTTTTCCAGGTGACCTAAAGAATTAATGACCATTCAAAAAAAAAAACGAAACAAAAAGCAGACATGACCTTACCAACACCAAAGAAACAGCCAAGCAATAAAGTGGAAGACTAATAACCAAGATGTGGACATTGGAATGTTTACGGATTATTCTTTACGAAACAAGTACAAAACGAGAATGTCAGCCAATGTTTCCAGCAATTTTTCTGGAATCCCTGCACAGAAAGCAAGAGAGCAACCTCCCCAGTTTCGGCAACCACTAGGTTTATATTTTTTTCCTGGTTTTTACTGTTTTGGTAATATGAATTGAAAGAAGAAATATTAATACCACATGGGGAGAACCCCAACCAAAGAAATCTGAAATATATAGTAAATGCTTTTTTGTTCCCTTTTCTAGTTCATTTTGGATGCTGGTGCTAAACTTCCAAGTGTCATGATTTAAAAAGAAATTTTATGCTCTTCTTATTTATTTCTAGATGAGGGGAGGATAACATTTTTGCTTTCTTATGCGACTCTCTGAAAATGTGCAGCATGAAGTTCCTCAAAAAATAAAATTTTTATCCTTGAAAGGAGAAGGTGTATAACTGGAGTATGTTTTCCTGTCTCAGCGTGTGTTTTATCTCTCCCCCCCCCCCCCCCCACCTCCCAGTTAATTCACTTGACTTAATAGTAAGCTCAAAACCAAACTAAAGATGCTCTCACGCTATTTAATAAATATTAGGTATATTCTTTTGCGATGGTGGTAGTTGTGATTGGAATGTGGGTCGGAATGAACAAGTTGGTGTCTGAGTTCAGCAGTTGGGCGTCCTTTTGTTTCTCTGGTCCTCTGTGTCTTTGGAGTAATCTTCACTGAGGTGAGTGGATGGCATGCAGGTTAAACGGCTTCCTTTAAATATTTTTTTTTTTAATTGATTTTTCACAGAGAGGAAGGGAGAAGGATAGATAGTTAGAAACATCGATGAGAGAGAATCATCGACCAGCTGCCTCTTGCACACCCCCTACTGAGGATGTGCCTGCACCCAATGTACATGCCCTTGACCGGAATCGAACCTGAGACCTTTCAGTCCGCAGACCGATGCTCTGTCCACTGAGCCAAACCGGTTTTGGCTAAAGGGCTTCCTTTAGATCAGTGGTTCTCAACCTTCCTAATGCCACGGCCCTTTAATACAGTTCCTCATGTTGTGGTGACCCCCCAACCATAAAATTGTTTTCTTTGCTACTTCATATGAATTGTAATGTAAACATCTGTGGTTTCCGATGGTCTTAGGCGACCCTGCTAAGCAGTTCTCAAAACTGCTGCCTGCACCAACCCCACTCACAGCTAGTGCCGGAGCCACTGTTGGCACCCACTGCTGTCCTGATTGCTTGGCACGGTGCTGTGAGCAGGTACAAGTGGTGGCTGGCTGCCCTGATAGCCCCTGAGGAGTGATCGCTGCCACTTGCACCTGCTGAAGGTGCAGACCCCTCATCCCTGCCACTGCTGGTGCCAGCCCCAATTGCTCTGCTCTGTCAGAGCAGGGGAGCAGGCTGCAGTGGGAGGGGCAGGCAGGGGCGCAGAGGATGGACAGAGACCTGCCCCTGTGCCCACCACAGCCTCATGGCCTACAGTTCCTTTCAAGGTGCACGATTTTGTGCACTAAGCCCTGGTTACGGTATAAATGTCTTGTTTAATAGGAAAATCAGGAAAGGAAATAGGTGCTGATATAAATCTCTGAAATAAGTTGATCTTGTCAGTGTCAAGGGTAAGACTTCATCAACTTTGTCTTTTCCTGGGGTTTTATCTGGTAAACTAGCTTGATTTCCTTCTGCAATTATTTCAGGATTTTAAAAGTCTTTACATGGTAAGATTTACTTATTGGAGAGATCACTATGTCAGCAATATGAAAGCTAAGACAGGAATGGAAGCCATTTGGAAGCCTGTTCTCCAAAGAGGACATACAGATGGCCCATATACATGCTAAAAGATGCTCACCATTATAATCATCAGAGAAATGCACATTAAAGCCACAATGAGATCACCTCACACCTGTCAGGATGGCTGTCACCAACAAATCAACAAGCATTTCAAAGATTGGAGAAAAGGGAAGGAACTCTTACGCACTGTTGGTGGGAATGCAGATTCTTGCAGCCACTGTGGAAAGTAGCATGGAGTTATCTCAAAATATTAAAAATTAAAAATGCCTATGACCCAGTAATTCCACTTCTGGGAATATGTCCTAAGAAACACAAAACACTATTTTGGAAGAATACATTCACCCGTATGGTTATTGCAGTGTTATTTATAACAGCCAAGTTTTGGAAGCAGCCCAAGTGCCCCTCAGTAGGTGAGTGGATAAAAACCTTGTGGTACATTTACACAATGGAGTACTACTTGGCTATAAAAAAAGAAGGAAATCTTACCTTTTGCAACAGCTTGGACCTGAAGAGTATTATGCTAAGTGAAATAAGCCAGTCAGAGAGAGGCAGAAACCATGTGATTTCGATTATATGTGCAATCTAATGACCAAAATTAACAAAATAGAGATACAGAGAACAGAAGGACAACTATCAGGAGAGGGGAGAAGCACAGGGTGAAAAAGGTGATGGGGATTAATAATGATAATAGTAATTATAAATATATAAACCCATTGGTGATTACCAGAGGGAAAGGGGAATAGGGGAATACCTGATCCCCAGTAGGGAGTGTGCAGGAGGCAGCTGGTCAATGTTTCTCATCAATGTTTCTAACTATTCTCTCTTCCTCTCTGTAAAAAATCAATAAAATTACATTTAAAAAAAAGAGTAAATGGTGGTAGAAAGAAACTGGACTTCAGGTGGTGAACATATAATACAACATACAGATGATGTATTATAGAATGTATCCCTGAAAATCATAATTTTATTAACCAATGTCACCCTAATTCAAAAATATTGGGTCGGCAACTAAGTAATTGCTGGTTTCACACATGGCTTCAGTTGAATTTTTAGGTTTGCAGATGTAGTACAAATGTAAAACACATTTTGTTATTTGATAGTTGGCTATTCAGCTGTTAATCAGTAAAAAAATTTTTTTGATCTGTTTTGTAGTTTTCGTTTGGCGTTCGTTGAAAAATGGAAAATCAAAAGGAACATTTTCGTCATATTTTGCTTTTTTATTTCCACAAAGGGAAAAACGCATCGCAAGCTCATAAAAAGTTATGTGCTGTTTATGGTGACGAAGCCTTAAAAGAACGGCAGTGTCAAAATTGGTTTGCCAAATTTCTTTCTGGTGATTTTTCACTCAAAGATGAAAAACGCTCTGGTTGTCCAGTTGAAGTTGATGACGCCCTAATCAAAGCAATAATCAATTCAGACTGTCACAGTACAACACGTGAGATTGCAGAGAAGCTTCATGTATCATATACATGCATTGAAAATCACTTAAAACAACTTGGCTATGTTCAAAAACTCGATACATGGGTTCCTCACGAACTGAAAGAATCACAGTTAACGCAACGCATTAGCAGCTGCGATTTGCTAAAGAAACATAATGAAAATGATCCATTTTTAAAACGACTGATAACTGGCGATGAAAAATGGGTTGTTTACAACAATATCAAGCGGAAAAGATCGTGGAGCAGGCCAGGTGAACCAACTCAAACAACATCAAAAGCTGATATTCATCAAAAGAAGGTTTTGTTATCAGTTTGGTGGGATTACAAAGGAATTGTCTACTTTGAACTCTTACCACCCAACCGAACGATCAATTCTGATGTCTACATTGAACAACTAACGAAATTAAACAATGCAGTTGAAGAAAAGCGGCCCGAATTGACAAATCGAAAAGGTGTTGTATTCCATCATGACAATGCAAGGCCACACACATCTTTGGTCACTCGGCAAAAATTAATGGACCTTGGTTGGGATGTTTTGCCACATCCACCATATAGTCCTGACCTTGCACCATCTGATTACTTTTTGTTTCGATCTTTACAAAACTCCTTGAATGGTAAAAATTTCAATAATGATGATGATGTCAAATCGTACCTGATTCAGTTTTTTGCTAATAAAAACCAGAAGTTTTTTGAACGTGGGATTATGATGCTGCCTGAAAGATGGCAAAAGGTCATTGATCAAAATGGGCAATACATTACAGAATAAAGTTATTTAGTTCCATGAAAAAATTGTCTTTGATTTTCTTTAAAAAATCCGCAATTACTTACTTGCCGACCCAATAACTACACACACACACACACACACACACACACACAAAAAGCCTATTACCAAAATTCAGCCAAGAAAAGGGAGTGAACTCGAGATAATATTGATAGAAAAGAGGGATGATAGAAATTTAAAAGAAGGTCTTCCCTAGGCTTATTCGATGGGACATCAGCCTGAAGACTGAAGGGTCCCAGGTTTGATTCCAGTCAAGGGCACGTGCCTCGGATCCAGGCTTGATCCCCTGTCCTGGTCTGGACTCATGCTGGAGGCAACTAGTCGATCTGTCTCACAGGTATGTGTCTCGGTGTCTCTTCCCTTCCCTTCCACTCTAAAAATCAATGAAAAAATATCCTTGGGTGAAAATTAACAAACAAAAAAAATAAAAATAAAAGGTAGAAGGACTATACTTAATGCCATTTGATGGGATAGAATGGGCTGAAAAAGTAGTAAGTGTTGATGCAACATTTCAGAGCTTTCTAATGTGCAGTTAAGTGGATATACTCAGCTTGACGCTTATAGCCCCTTAGGGAGATAAATAACTTTTCTGAAAATCATACTAAGAGTATTAATTAGTATCAATCTTGAGAGAATTATTTAATGGCATAGATTAAAGCCCTGCTTTTATTTATTATTATTATTTTTTTTTTTACCATTATCAACGAAGTAGGTAGACTTTTAAAAAATTAACTCGTAATTGACCATACTTCAATAATTTAGCCAAAAAGGTCAGAGATTTGATTCAGGATTATTATGGCTTATTTAGTTTTTTTTTTTAAATCCTCATCTGAGGATATTCTTTCCATTGATTTTCAGAGAGTGTGTATGTGTGTGTGTGTGTGAGAGAGAGAGAGAGACAGAGAGACATAATCAATGTGAGAGAAAAACATCTATTGGTTGCTCTCCTTATGCACTTAACCAAGGATTGAACCTGAAACTGGGTATATGCAGAAATAACTACCTGTCAGGGATGGTGGAACTGAAACATTGCTGAAAATGAGTCAGGGGGCTAGAAATTTGAGACAGAGATAATTATTGAAATTATAGGGAAATGAACACTTAGAGAGAAAAGAGAAGCAACAGATTTCTAACCACCGTATTCATTAGTGTAATGTGTGGGGCCTCCTGTTTATATCTTCTGTTGAACTAGCTCTGTATTTAGTACGTACTTAGTTGTTTTCTGTGTCTTGCTATTTCCAGGGTTTTCTCTATCTCAGAAATGTAAAAATTCATCATTTGTTTGAAGTGCTCAATAAAATTTAGGGAGTAAAATTTTGCCTTTCCCTTTTGGTTAAATATGCATATTTTTAAAAAAGTTCTTATGTCCTAGAGGTCATAACTTCTATCATTATGATGGCTCCTTGATAATATCAAGATTTTTGAATATTTTGTGTAT